GTGGCCTGTGGGGCGTGGCCTCCGGAGGGTGGGCGTGGCTAGCGGCTCTACCAGGAGCAGAGTGGATGGGACGGGGACTCAGGGCCCAGCTGTGGGTCGGGAAGGCCGGGGCGGGGCCGGGGCGGCCGGGGCTCACCTGGATGTTCACTTGGTAGTCCGTGGGCCCGTGGATGGATCCGTAGAGCCCAAAGCCCACCACAAAGATGCGCTTGTTGACGGAGAACCTGGAGTTGAGTGGTGGACGGGTCAGCGCCCTGGGCCCCGCGGGAGCAACTGGACCGGCGTGGGGGAGGGGCAGCCGGGGCTGGGAGGAGGGCACCGCCCCTCGGGACCACGCCCACTAGGGACACGCCCACTCGACGGCCCTCCATCCTGCCCACCGGGAACACGCCCACTCGGTCTCCGTCCCGCCCACTTGGGACACGCCCACCCGGCGCCCTCCGCTCCGCCCCCGGGGACACGCCCACCCGGCGGCCTCCGCCCCGCCCACCGGGAACACGCCCCACCTGATGCGGTCACTGGTGCCGCTGTAGCCCCAGCGGCTCTCCACCTGCTGGAACCGGTTGATGCTGCACTCCTTGCCCCGCAGGCAGCACCGCGGCCGGTCGATGAACTCCACGCGCGGCTTGGGGTTGACGGTGAAGTGCAGGAAGAGGCTCACCACCTCGCGGTCCACCAGGATGCCGGACTGCGCCGGGCCTGCGGGGCAGCGGGAGGGGCGCCTGGGCCGGAGTCCGCCTGACGTGCGTGTGTGCGTGCGTGCGGGGCTTGCGGCCCGGCCCCCACCCCGCGCACGGCCTGAGCGGCTGACAGGCCAGGACCCCGTGACTGGCAGCCCCAGGGCCCGGGCAGCGTCCTCAAGTCTCAGCCCGACGGACATGGGCTGGAGGGGCGCGGGGCAGCCATGCAAGCCGGTACCTGCGGCGAACTCTTCGATGGTCATCAGGGGGAAGCGGATGAGGCCCAGGGCCTTGCCTAGCGCCTTCCGCTTGTTCTCAGGCGTCACCTGAAGCTGCTGTCGCTGACACTCAGCTTCAGACCAGCGCACTACGGCATTGAACAGCCGGACCTCGCGGATGCCCAGAGTGTCCCGCTCCAGCACTGCCACCAGCGTGTCTGTGGCGGAGAGAGGCTGTGAGCCCCGGTGCCCTGTGAGGGCCCTGTAGGCTGTGCAGACCAGCCCCATACAGGAACCACCTCATAGCCAGGGCTCGGCGGCTGTGGCCCTCTGTCCATGTTTGGCAATAAAGTTTTATTGACACACAGCCCTCCCTGAGCACTGCCTGCCTGCCTGCCTCCCTCCCTCCCTCCCTCCCACACAGTCTGAAATCACGATGTAGCTAAGGCTAGCCTTGAACCCCTGGCCCTCTTGTCTCCACCTCTTGAGTGCTGGACTGACAGGCCGGCAAGTGCTAGGGAAGAAGTCCCCTACCTCAGCTGAGGCCCAGCCCGCGTACTTTTTGAGACAGAGTCTCGTTCTACAGCCTAGGCAGGTCTGGAACTTATAGCAATCCTCCTGCCTCAGCCTCCCGAGAGCTGAGTTCATAGGAGTGCATCCCACAGCCTGCGACTACTTCCTCTGGCTCTGAGCCCTGGGCCCTCCCAAGGCACTGCAGATGACGCTGTAGGGCTGGGTAGTCTCCCTACTCGGGGATAACACTGACCCCAGAACGGAGGACACAGGCCAAGCCCCGCTACCCGGCCCCTCTATCTGTCCCACCCAGGCCGTCACGTCTCCTTCCAGTCAGTGTCTGCAACCTGAGCCAGGCGCGGCACGGTCCTCGAATGAAGGCCTGCTGGCCCTGACTCACCCAGGTCGATGTCCGTGAAGCCCTCGGCCGCGATGGCATCCGCCGTGTTCTTGTCTATGCTCTCCAGGCACAGGCTGGCCAGCTGCGGCTCGTCGAAGAGCCGGGCCTGGAGACGGGGAGGTCACAGGAGACAGACGGGCTCTGAGAAGCCAAGTGACCACGACCACCTGCCTGTCACAGCAGGCCGCCCGCACGCTGTGCACCCCGTGGATACACCAGATGGAAGCTGAAGCGGAGGAGCGGGGTGCGCCGGTGCACACCTGTCACCCGAGAGCGACCTCAGGCTGAGACAGAAGGGTCAGGAGTGCAGAGCAGCCTGGCTGCTGAGCCAGGCTATCTCGGAGGAGAAAGACGGGAAAAGCCAGGAGGTGGTGGCGCACGCCTTTAATCCTGGCACTGGGGAGGCAGAGGCAGGGGGATCTCCGCTAATTCAGACCAGCCTGGGCTATGTAGTGAGTTCCAGCACAGCCTGGGCTACACAGTGAGACCTCATCTCCAAAATCAAAAACAACCCCCTCATCATAACAAAATACCTACAAAAAAGGAAGTGGGTAGCGGCGGAGGAGGCCGGGCTTCACCTGGTGGCGCACAGGCACCGCACCCCACGGGCACACTGTGCCCCACACAGCACCGCGCCCCACGCGCGCACACCCACCTGCGTGAGCAGCATGAAGGCGTTGTCAGCCCGCAGGTGCTTCTTCAGGAACTCCACGCAGTGCGCCTCCAGGGCGGGCACCGCGTACTTCTTGGCGGTGTAGAGCGTGGTCATCACCGTCTCAGGCCCGATCTGCACTTCATCCGAGTACAGGAACCTGAGCAGGACACACGGACGGGCACTGAGAACCCGAGTGACCACAGCCACCTGCCCCGGCCAATCACCGCCCGTCTGCTCGGCCGCCTCCGGGATTCACCTGTCGGCATCTCCTGACCTAGGGACATCGCTCAGGAAGACCAGGCTGTCACCATGAGATGTCCATGCATAGGTCACCCTGGGCCGCGCCCCCAGCGGGGCCTGAGACCCTGTGGCCAAGCTTAGGCCATCGTGGGTAGGTGACAGAAACCACGCTGACCTCGGGCACCGGCCGGGCAGGCGGCGTGAGTGCTCGCACACCGCTGTGTGGGCGCAGTGTCCACTACAGACCCGAGGCCACGGGTCCCATCGCAGACCACGGGTCCCATCCCAGACCACAGACAGAGCAGGCGTGGCACACGGCACTGCCCATTCTTGGAGACAGACTGTTTCAAAACCGGAACAAAATTAAAAGTCTTCCTTTAAAAGATCAAAAAAAAGACTTATGTTCACGTGTGCCATGTGAGCAGGCCCTGAAGAGGCCGCAGGGCCTCAGACCACCCGGAGCTGGTAACCACCTGACCAGGGTTCTGAGGGTGCTGCGCCATCTTTCCAGCCCCTAAAGCATTCTGAGACGGTGTCTCTTCTCCGCTGCGTTCTAGAACGCCCTGCTGGAGGGTGGGCTCTGCAGCAGATGTGCAGCGGTCTGCCTCCTGCTTTTCACACCCCATGTCCCAGCGCCCACCACGGCCAGAAGAATCGGGAAACTTACTTGAGCAGTGCCAGGAAGGCGGAAGGCTCCACATCGGGCAGCTCGATCTCCGTGGATGTGGTAGCCATCCCGCCATTGAACATGGCGTCAAAGACAGCGCTGCCCACGGCCAGCACAAACCTGATCCAGGAGAGAGGGTGCCTGTCCGTGAGTCCATCTGGCCCAGGCCAGGCTGAGTCCTGTCACACCTGCCTGCAGAGACCCCTCGCCACCCTGGTAGAGGCCTTCCAGGCCTCCGATCCTTCTAGAAGGAAGGACCTGGAAGGGGTGGCTGTGGAGGGCAGCATGAGGGCAGCACCTCATTCCTTCATGCGTGTGCTCGCTCTCTCTTCCTCCCACATCCCTCATTCATTCCTTCATCCATTCCCTCCTCCCCCACTCCCTCAATTCTCCAGACCTCAGGAACAGGCACGGAACCTGACCCTCACAAGGGAAAGCAGACCAGACTGGGGGGGGGGGGCGGCCTCCTCGGTCAGGGGTCTCAGGCTTGGGAAGTGTGTTAGTGCTGGGGGAACCGCAGGGCTGGGGATTGAGACCTTAGGAAGCTGTGGGGGAGGGGGGAAGCAGAGGGCATGGGCTGCCAGGACCGCTCCGGCTGGGGCAGCGGGGGCGGCCAGGCTCAAGAGCCGCAGTGACTTGGCTTGAACACAGCACACGTTCTGGGTGGAGACAATGACCCGGGCCCCACAGTGACAAGGTGGCCCTGCACAGACTCTCCAGCTGCACAGCTCTGGACATCTACACAGGTCCACGTACCCTGAGTGGGGCAGAGCCAGCGGCCACAAGAGAACCACTGCTAAAGCCGGACAAGGACCCTGCACCTGCCGGGGGCACCCTCACCGGCCCTGCAATGACGAAGCTCCCTCCTGCCCAGGTCTGGCCACTGGCGACGGTCCCTGCGATCAGACCAGGTACCACCATTCTCCAGAGCGACCGAGTGCGCCCAGAGCCTCCGGAAACCGGCCCTCCCCGTGGAGTGAACTGAGACTAATCCAAGAGGAGCAAACGAGCAGATTCCAGAGACAGGGCTGACAGCTGCTGGCTGGACATGGCCTGTCACCTCTGCTATGCGGGACCCAGAGCACGGCAGGAGTTCAGGGCAACCTGGGTAACCCAGTAAGACCTTGTCTCAAAAATAAAAAGGGAGACTAATGGTTCAGGGTGGAGCCCCTCCTAGAATCCCCCAGTGAGGGGCTGGGGGCGTGGTTAGGGTGGAGCCCCGCCCAGAATCCCCAGTGAGGGCTGGGGGCGTGGTCAGGGTGGAGCCCCGCCTAGAATCCCCAGTGAGGGGCTGGGGGCGTGGTCAGGGTGGAGCCCCTCCCAGAATCCCCAGTGAGGGGCTGGGGCGTGGTCAGGGTGGAACCCCGCCCAGAACCCCGAGGGCTGGGGCGTGGTCAGGGTGGAACCCCGCCCAGAACCCCGAGGGCTGGGGCGTGGTCAGCAGTGCAGCGCCCCCCTAGCGGACCTATAGACTTCACACCCATCACTTTAAATCCGCGGAGGAAAGGCTGAGGCAAACCCTGGGGCCTGGCCCGGAAAGGACCCACGGGGCCTTGGGACAGTGCGGCTGCCCAGACCCGGGCCTCAGTCACAGCCCTGCAGCCTTTCAGCTCCCGGCCCCATCCTGGTCCGGTGGGGGCTGGGAAAACTGTTCCTCGCAGCACAGCGGCTCCCAGGCCCAGGGCCCACGCAGCAGGAATCCAGAAATAACCTCCCTGCCTGCGCCTCGTCTGCTTAAGAAGCATCCTGTGTCCCCGCAGGGAAGCCTGCACCGACCACGCAAAAGCCAAAACCAGAAACTCGGGCACCAGCTGCACGGGCACGGCCGCGGCCACCTGGCGCGGATGCTCACACCTGGCCCTGACCCACGCCACGGCGACCCACCCCAGCGACTCTGCCGGTCCCCGCCGCCACTCAGTGGACACCGCTGCGGCCCACGCGGCCTCCGCAGCCCGGAGGGACGCAGGAACACACACGCACGCCAGAACACACTCGGATGTTGCCGGCAGCAGACACATCGAGTCCCCCATCATCAAGTGTGAGCCCCGAACGCTTTTGATCAGACACACAGCGGCTTCCCTCCACACACCTCGAAGCCATACCCGGCGCGGGGAAATGGAGATACCGGGCTCAGTGAAGCAAACAGGGGACCGGGAGGAGGCCGAGCTAGTGCGGGAAGACGGCGTGTGTCGGACAGGGGTGTCCGTGGGCACCATCTCAGCGAGCCGCGCTTAGGACAGATGGCTCGGTGGTTAAGACCATAAGCCACTCCTGCAAAGAGCCTGAGTTCAGCTCCCAGCACCCACGCTGGGTGCTCACGGCCAGCTTCAGGGACCCTGGAACTGGACTCTGCAGACAGGTACACATGTGAACACACACAGAGGCATAGACACATGAACACGTGTTCGAACACATACACACATTTGTGCATGAACACACGCACGTGTTCACGCACACGTATAAATATACACATGCATATGAACACATGCATGAACCCATAACACACAAATGAACACTCATGCGCACACACAATTAAAACAAATCTTTTCTGTTCTTTGTTTCAGATGGGGTCTTACCACATCGCCTGGGCTAGCCTTGAACTTCCTCCTGCCTCAGCCTCATGGTTGGGGTAGGCCTGCACCACTACACACAACACAAGGCCAGGAGCCTTGCAGAAGGGACCAGCTCACTGTGATCTCAGACGCCCTTGGCCAGGAGCACAGAGTAATTACCAGTGTGCACAGGGCAACTGACGGAGCTGGAGCTGGGAGAGGGTCCATGGGCAAAGAGGGTGTAAGTTCAAATCCTATCGCACCTGTAAAAAGCCAGGTATGGGCAAGGAATCGCACACCTTTAATCCCAGCACTCGGAGGCAGAGGCAGGCGGGTCTCTGTGGATCCAGGCCAGCCTGGTCTACAGAGTGAGACTCTGTCTCAAGAAAACAAACGAAAATGTTTTCCTTTAGACAAAACTTACTCAGCTCCGGCTAAACTCAAACCCTGATATCCTCTGTCTTAAAAACCAAACCAAAAACTGGTTAGCTAGGAATTTGCTACATAGACCAGGCTGGCCTAGAACTCACAGAGATCCTTCTGCCTCTGCCTTCTAAGTGCTGGGACAAAAGGCGTGCGCCACCTCACTCAACTATGAAGAGAATTTTTATTTACTTATTTATTTTTAATTTTTTGAGACAGGGTTTCTCTGTGTAGCGCTGGCTGTCCTGGATCTCACTCTGTAGCCCAGGCTGGCCTCAAACTCACAGAGATCCGCCTGCCTCTGCCTCCCAGGTGCTGGGATTAAAGGTGTGGGTCACAGTCACCCGGTGATGAAGGAAATTTTAGGAGAATACAATAAACAAAATTTTCACAATTTACGTGAATGGACTGCTAAGAAAGATAAATAGGGGGCTGGAGAGATGGCTCAGAGGTTAAGAGCACTGGCTGTTCTTCCAGAGGTCCTGAGTTCAATTCCCAGCAACCACATGGTAGCTCACAACCATCAACAATGAGATATGGTGCCCTCTTCTGGCGGGCAGGCTGAACACTCACTGTATACATGATAAATAAATAAAATCTTAAAAAAAAAAAAAAAAAAATGGCCGGGCGGTGGTGGCGCACGCCTTTAATCCCAGCCCTTGGGAGGCAGAGGCAGGCGGATCTCTGTGAGTTCGAGGCCAGCCTGGTCTGCAAAGTGAGTTCCAGGAAAGGTGCAAAGCTACACAGAGAAACCCTGTCTCAAAAAACCAAAAAAAAAAAAAAAAAAGAAAGATAAATAGGTCAGGTGGGTCTGGAGAGACGGCTCAGGGGTTAGGAGCTCCTGCAGGGGACCCGGGTTCCATTCCCAGCACCCACATGGCAGCTCACAACTGTGACTCCAGTTCCAGGGACCCTGGTACCCTCACACTGAAATGCATGCAGGCGAAACACCAGTGCACATAAAACAAATAAATAAAATATTAAGTTAGTAAATAAACAGGCCAGGCATGGAGACACACCTATCATCCCAGGTCCCAGGAGCCTGAGGCTGGAGACCTGTGGTGAGCTGGAGGAAAGCCTGAGCTACATAGGGAGACGCAGTCTCAAAAGAACAAAACAAAACAAAAGCACACAAAGGCGATGGGATGTGGGCTGGCTGAGCTGGCTTAGGCTCAAGGCCCTGAGCTCCATCATCAACTGGGCCAGAAAGGACCAGAGACACACACACACTAAAGCAGGACAGCCTGTCCACAGCGTGAAGTCGCCCACAGGAGGAGGGCAGCAGACGGCTTCGGAGGATCCACGCACCCCCAGGACAAGCATCCTAGGCAGGGGCTCTGCCCACTGGTTCCCAAGCCGATCCCGGTGGCTTCAGAAGCCCCATCGCAAGCTGGTGTGAAATCTGTGGACAGCCCCTCTGTAACCGCCAAAGAAGCAGGGCATAGAGGCCCAGGCCGGGCATCCCAGCATTCAGGAGGTCGAGGCTGGAGGACCACAACAATTTCAGGGCAGCCTGTCTAACAAACAACAACAAGAAACATTAGGACAGGCACTTGAATGCTGGGACCCAGACCCAGTGCTCACTGGCAGACTGAGCCCTGGTCCCATCTTCAGCATGACACAAACCGGGAATGGTAGAGCCGTCTATCATCCCAGCTGGGCACGGGAGGAGGATCAGGAGTTCAAGGTCATCCTTGGCTACAAGAGACCAGCCTGGGCTGGGTGGTGGTGGTGGTGGTGGTGTTGGTGTTGGTGGTGGCGGCGGCGGCGGCGGCGGCGGCG